CTTTGCTTAGAGTCCAAGAAAGGGCAATGGAAGGACGGATTGCCTTTAGGAATGAGCAGAGCTATTCATGTATCAACAGGATGTGCCAATTTGTCTGCTTATTTTGTGTCTGCTTTATTCGCTCTCTTCATACATCTTTTTTTTAAGTATTCTTTATTTAATTTTATTATTATTATCATTATTGTTATTCTTATTTTAAATTTTGTCATAGGGCATGCACACTGACCAGAGAGATACAGAGAGAGAGAGATAAAGAGAGAGAGGGAAAGTGAGAAAGCAGATCTAGGACTTGAATCACAGTCAGCCACGTGGGAGTCCAGTAGCCCAACCATCACATCACCTGTTGGCCCCCATAAATCTTATCTTCTCTCACTGAGTGTAAAAATATCAATTCCTTCATTCTGAATTTAACAGCTTTATTCACTTTGGAGAAAAAGCTGCCTTGGTGCTCTTTTTAAAATGAAATTCAGCAACCATAAGGAAGGAATTTATAAAATTGAATGGATTCCATTGGCTACCTCCTGACCCAATCAGCCGTTTGGAGTGGAGAATAGAGAATTGAGAGTGGCTATTTCAAATGCAGGTTCATCAGCTGTGGCTAGTAAGACTGGGTCATGCAATACCAGAGCAGTTCCCTCTGGTACCGTAAGTCTTGGCAGCAGGGAAATGGAAAGCCATTTCTAAACAAAGGAGGATGAGGTAGTGTTGGGCAGAAAACCCCTATGTAACTAGTACTGATAGCAGTTCCCCCAAAAAGCCCATATTATATCCATGGTCATTATACCTAGCTCTTGGATAGTTCAACTCTAGCCCACTTAAGCAATTCTAGATATTTCAGCTGTATAACCAATAATGTATGTATACTACATGAAGAAACTCCTTATGGAGTGAATAGCTTCAAATGATTGAGTGTCATCTTTTTCATTAGAACTTTTGAATACTCCTCTGAGCCATATTGAATTCTTGCAAGTGTTTATGGTCGCACTATACAGTTGATCACATAATTATTCTACAATTGCCTGAATATTATGTCCAAGTCCCTAGTTCAACTGTAGGTATCTTATTTTGTGTTCCCATTTACTAGAAGACCTCTATACCAATATTAGTGTTATGGACATAATTTATTCTGCATTTGTTCTATAAGTGATTCTTGAGAGCCTACTAATTTCTAGGCAATATGCCCCATGCTTAAGATACAAAGACAATCAAAGATGATCCTTAAAGAGAGCACATGACTTGATGTATTTTTGTCTTTACCACACTTGACATAGAAATATAGTATGGCCAAATTTGATCTAGCAATTGAATTCATCTCCAAACACCAGTAGTGTATCTAGATGAAGTTTAGTTTGCCTATCCAGAAAAATCAGAATTTTTCTCCCTTTTAAGCCAAAAGGCTATTAATGCAAATCCAATTGAATTTGCATTTGATTACATTTCTGATGGAAACATTCATATGCAAATGAAAATTCATGCAAAGATAGCCAGATAATTCAAATTGTTGCTGATATATCAAGATAAAATTAGGATATTAAGTGTACATCCATCCATGTTTACTAGGTTATATTGAGGTCATCAAGTGGGACAATGTTCTCAAAAAACCTTAAATAAATTGGGTCTTAAACTATTTGACAACATCTGAATGGGTATGGGTTCAGAAAGAGCTATTGCATTACCTTCTACGGTCATAGTACTGAAAAAGAAGTCAGTCTCTGGTAAAATCAGTCCAGCTATTCAAAAGACATTTATCTTGGATCCACCATTTTCTCCTACTTATCTTTTCTTACCATTAAAACAAAGGTGATTTGTGATAGATTTGAAATTATTTTGATGATACAAAACAATGAACACATAGTTTTTATGCACTGAACAACTCTTCCAAACTCCCTAGGGACTTAGGGGTGCAAGTTAAATGACATCATCACACTTACCACCAATAAGTATCCTTTGGAACACATCCAAGACATTGTGAATATAGCAGCAAAGAAGTGACCTTAACTAATGCCCACATTCTTCTATTAAATCCAGCGAAATGAGCCAGCCAGTGGCATGGTGGGTAAAGCAGCTAGATCCCACATGACCTACTGAGCAGTTTGAGTCCCAGACTCAGTGGTTTGAAAAGCATGTTGACACCTGTGTGTGCATACCTAAAATCCAGGAGGGGATTGGAGAAGAAGGGATTGAGGTCTGGCTATCTTTCTCCGCTCTCCTACAGGAGTGCTTTCTTAACTTTTTCTCTGGAGAGCCTTTGTTCCCTATAGCAAATCATAATTAAAAAATCCAGCTAAGAAAACTATTTAAGCAAAGTTTGAAGGTATAAGATTTTAATACACTATGATGCACTCCAAACTTATTTTTGATATACTTTTCAAAATCAGACTATTGGTTCCTATTGAACTTAACAGACTTGGACTGGCAAAAGACAAAAATCCTAGATCATAGCATTCAGGATTGTTACAATTTAGTTTAATATTAATAGTCCACAAATTTTCCCATTTTTATTTTATTTAATCTTATATATTTGTCCATAGTTGGAAGGTTTTTGTTTTTGTTTTTGTTTTTCCCAGAGCTTTGATGTATGTCACCTACCATCCATCAAAGTTGGAATGTCTGAATTTCAGGGAGGTGATCTTAGTATCTCCCACTTTATCAAACCTGATCTTTCCTCTGAGTTTAACAATTTTATTTCTTATGTATTTCTCAAATCCAGCTACTTCTCTTCATCTCTATCATCAATTCCTTAACATTTACCTTTTCCCTGACCTAAGGCTATAATCTCCTAACTTGTTTCTCAGAATCTACTTTTCACTTTCCTCAACTCCTCATACTATAGCCAGAGTTGTTATTTTTAAAATGCAAATACTTATCATTTCACCCAATCATCTTTCTTAATCTCTTTGCACGGCTTCCTACTTCTTCCATTCTACTGAATGGCCTAGTTCCTGTTTGCCTCTCCACCGTTAGAGCTCCCCTTTCATTCATGCATCCTAGCACTATCTTTTTAGAACCTCAAATGTCCGTGTTCCTTCTACCCACCACATCCTTGCCCACACTGCTTCTCCCCAGCATCTAGTTAGTTAACCAGGTGCCTCTTCAATGAAAGCAGCCCTGATGTCTAGACCCCATCAGGTTCTCCTGTTACTTCTTTCTACCACCATGCAACTGTCTAATACTGATTCTAGTTTATAATGATGCATTTATTTTTGATATAATATCAGTTGTATTGATCTTTCTCTTGCCTTCCTGAAGGATGAGACTAGATATGTTTTCTAGCTTACCAGAGCAAGACAGAATACTTATCGTACACCAGGCATTCAGTAAATATTTGTTGAATTAATGGAATGTTCCTCTTCCTATTCTTCTCAACTAAAATCTATAAATTTATAGTAATGAAGGCAGAAAGCAGGAAGGAAAAAAGAAAGAAAATTGACTACCTTGTTCAAACTTTACCTTGCCACCACTTGCCAAGAAGAATTAATATGGCACATACTGTAATACCACTTGTGGCTGATAAGCTAAGGTGAAGATCCTAATACAACCATGTTAACTGATCTCAAAAAGTGTGATAATAGGATTCCACTTTGAATAATACCAGAAAAGCACTTTTTCACTGACCTATGATGGAGAATAATGCAATAGCTACTCTTCCAACTCCATCTCATGCATAAAAATTTTACTTAGGATAATCTACAACTTATTTCAGAAACACATCTAGAATTTTAAATATATAGTCTTTGACACAAGTTGCTAAAATTGGTTTACAACTATTATTCATTTCATAGGAATAGAGTCATAATTATAAAAGTTAAAATCATATCAAAATCACACAGCAATAAAGCCAGTTTCTTAACTCCCTCTGTTACTTTTTATTTTATTTCTATCAGCTGTGAGCTTAATTTTATTATATCAGAGGCTTTAAAAATACAGAGCTAAAGATTGAAATGATAAATTATAAGGAAAGATAAACTGCCACAGGCTGTAATTTTTCTTTTCTTTTCTTTTTTTTTTTTTTTTTTTTTACAAAGTTGGCTTATACTTTTTCTACGAATTTCT